TAACGGAAGTAAAGTGGGGCGACAGAATCATGATGTCCAGTACATAGACAACGATGCACACCGATTATGTTTGCGCTTCAAACCATTTCGTGATTTGTGCAAAATCGTGTTAATAGCTAATATTATATGTTCTTTCAGCTGTAATGACATGGTGGTTTAGTATTTTGGGCTCATGGCGACTGTTGCACACCCCGTTTTCTGTTTTTGTTTCCCATATTACTTTACGTACGAATTTTAATATTTTTTTTTTTCTTTTTTTTTTGCCCACCACCACCCCCCCTCTTCGGAGGACAACTTTATGTTTAATTACAACATAAAAAATAAAAAAAGAATAAATGTTTACATTCACTTTTTTTTCCCCTCACATAGATGGGGGGGGGGGCTCATTTATAACATACAAAAACCCAAAATACAACATAAAACAAAATAAAACAAATAACAAGCATACAGGAGGCAAAATAGTGCCACAAGATCCGACAATGATGACAAAGCAAAAAGACAGACAAGAGACAATACGAAGTGACTTACGAGAGACTGGGACACGGCAGATATGCAGTTACAGTTAGAGATGCTCGCATGTATGTGTATGTGCGGGGTTTGTACTAAAAGTTTATAAAAGTAAGTGTGTATATGTGTACAGAGAAGGAGGGGGGAAAGGGGTTAACTTTGGAGATATACACGGTTTGTTTTTTTTTCCTCTCCTTTGCTCTGAGGCTATATGTTAGTAAAGTTATTGTGATGGAATATTAAGAAATGTTATAAATGGATTCCAGGTGTCCTTAAAGGCTGACACATGCTTCCACTGGACAGCATTATTTTTTTCCATTGAAATGTATTCTACAATCAAGTTGGTCCAGTGAGTAATATCACATGAGCTCTTAGATTTCCAATTTTGGAGAACTACTTTCTTGGCGACAGCAAGAGAAATGAGCAAAGGGTTTTTATATTTAGAGCGGAGCGTGAGCGAGGAGCGGAGCGGGCGAAATTTGGTCAGAGCGCGGAACGGTTTTTTAATGAAGGCTGGAGCGGTCGCTCTTTCTCGCTCTAATTTCGCTCCGATAGCACTCACACTACGACTCTGAGGCGTGCGCAAATCTTCCCAGAATTCATCTATACAATTATCAAGATTTAGATCCGCTTTGGAATCTAAAAATACCTTTCTCGGAAACATGAGTGTGCTACGCGAACACGCGGAGGCCAGAGCAAAACTTGAGCAAGTTTTATATGGTTGTAGCATATCAAGTCTATAAAGTAAATAAAAGTATAAACTCCTATAATTTGGTAATCAGATAAATTAGTTTGTCATTCAAATTAGGTCTAATAGGATTTTTTAAATTCTCGTAACACTGTCAGTGAAATTTTATTTTATAGAGAGAGACGCAGCAGCATCATACAGAAAATAACTGAGGAATTTAAAACGTGGATGCGCTTAACCTGTATATTCTTTAGGCTATTAAGCCCACTGATTCCTTTATTTTTAAGCCTATATTTTGTGTGGAATGCCATTGCCAAGCCTGTCCGTTGCCTATATGTTGTTTAAAAATAAATATTTTCTGTTCTGAGTGCCGTTGCTCACATTTCTTTATGATATAAGGCATCGGTTTAAAATGACATTTGTTAGGCATGCAGATTATTTGTCCCTCTTAATTGGAGCGAGCGTGATGCGATTTGACTGGAGCTGGAGGAAATTAGCAAAGTTTTGCATACAATCTTATGATGTAACTAAAATTGTAATCATGAATATTTCCGTAAGTAACTGTGTGTGTGTGTGTGTGTGTGTGTGTATATGTGTATATATATATATGTATGTAGACTCACCTAAAGGATTATTAGGAACATCATACTAATACGGTGCTTGACCCCCTTTTGCCTTCAGAACTGCCTTAATTCTACATGGCATTGATTCAACAAGGTGCTGAAAGCATTCTTTAGAAATGTTGGCCCATATTGACAGGATAGCATCTTGCAGTTGATGGAGATTTGTGGGATGCACATCCAGGGCACGAAGCTCCCGTTCCACCATATCCCAAAGATGCTCTATTGGGATGAGATCTGGTGACTGTGGGGGCCATTTTAGTACAGTGAACTCATTGTCATGTTCAAGAAACCAATTTGAAATGATTCGAGCTTTGTGACATGGTGCATTATCCTGCTGGAAGTAGCCATCAGAGGATGGGTACATGGTGGTCATAAAGGGATGGACATGGTCAGAAACAATGCTCAGGTAGGCCGTGGCATTTAAACGATGCCCAATTGGCACTAAGGGGCCTAAAGTGTGCCAAGAAAACATCCCCCACACCATTACACCACCACCACAAGCCTGCACAGTGGTAACAAGGCATGATGGATCCATGTTCTCATTCTGTTTACGCCAAATTCTGACTCTACCATTTGAATGTCTCAGCAGAAATCGAGACTCATCAGACCAGGCAACATTTTTCCAGTCTTCAACTGTCCAATTTTGGTGAGCTCGTGCAAATTGTAGCCTCTTTTTCCTATTTGTAGTGGAGATGAGTGGTACCCGGTGGGGTCTACTGCTGTTGTAGCCCATCCGCTTCAAGGTTGTGTGTGTTGTGGCTTCACAAATGCTTTGCTGCATACCTCGGTTGTAACGAGTGGTTATTTCAGTCAAAGTTGCTCTTCTATCAGCTTGAATCAGTCGGCCCATTCTCCTCTGACCTCTAGCATCAACAAGGCATTTTCGCCCACAGGACTGCCGCATACTGGATGTTTTTCCCTTTGCACACCATTCTTTGTAAACCCTAGAAATGGTTGTGCGTGAAAATCCCAGTAACTGAGCAGATTGTGAAATACTCAGACCGGCCCGTCTGGCACCAACAACCATGCCACGCTCAAAATTGCTTAAATCACCTTTCTTTCCCATTCTGACATTCAGTTTGGAGTTCAGGAGATTGTCTTGACCAGGACCACACCCCTAAATGCATTGAAGCAACTGCCATGTGATTGGTTGATTAGATAATTGCATTAATGAGAAATTGAGCAGGTGTTCCTAATAATCCTTTAGGTGAGTGTATATTCCCTTTTTTCTTGAGTCTGTTTTGCTCATGCAAAATGAAATGCGATTAGTATAGATTAAAAATGAATGATATTTAATCACGATTAATCTAAATTAATCCACAGCAACCCTGTGATTAATCTGATTACAAATTTTAATCGTTTGACAGCACTAGTATATATGTATGTGTATGTGTGTGTGTATATATGTATGTATGTGTGTGTGTGTATGTATGTATGTATGTGTGTGTGTATGTGTATGTATATATGTATGTATGTATGTATATGTGTGTATATAAAAAGTCAAACCAGCATCTCTGAATATCCCTTAATGTGTGATTGTGTGTGTGCATATGCCATGTGACCCATCCAGAGTGTACCCATGCCTAATTCCCTGTCCTGTCCAGGATAGATGGTTGGATAATGGGTGGATGCGCTGATATGTATCATACTTGCACTGGTATTTTCTGGCACTGCAGCAGGTCAGGCAGAAGCAGGGACACTAGCTGCTATTTAATCTGCTACTCAGTTTTGTGTCTTTCAGCTCCAAGCTCAGTGCTCTGTTCTGTTTGCTGGAGTTTCCAGATTTGTTTCTAGTTTGTGGGCAGTCTTGCACTGGTTTTGCTGTTTTCGGTAGCAGGTGTTTTTTCCAGATCAGTGGTTACGGTTAGCTGCAGTTCTGTTTCTCTGTTCCTTTGGATTTTTTTAGTTTTATGCTTTAGTTTATATTTGCTAGTTTCCGTTCTTGCTTGCTGGTTCTCTGCACCCTCCTCCTGACACAGCTGGACACGTTGTGCTCAGCAGGTACCTGTTACTATGTCCTAAGCCTACTGTCCATTACAGTGCCTTTTATACATTACCAGTCTTACGTGTGAGATATATTTCTTGTATCACTATATTTCGATTCTATTCCTTAGGAATGCTCTTCAGATTGACCTCTCAACAGTAATAATTTATGCCAAAAATTCTGTGCCTCCTGAAAAAGTGTCACCAATAGATGTTGCCCAGCAGGGAGGTGGGAAATGGTACATTTTGGCTTCCCTATAAAGTGCTGGGCCCCCTGAATCGGCCAGGGTTTCCATACCCCTCCAATGACCCTGCCAGTAATTAACCACTACACTAAGCCAGAAGGGGGTAGATAGAGTTTTAAGTACTAGTGCTCTGGGAGAGGGAGCAGTTCCTGCAGGGGTGAGACGGGGTGGTGGGGGGCTCCAAAAACGAGTAAGAGTATGTCTAAGGAGGTGTGCTGTGAGGTCACAGTGTATGGTCCCCCACTGCTGAGCAGGCCCAAGGCAAACAGCCGGCCAGTTAACGACGGCAAACAGCTGCTCCGCCGCCCCTTTGTGGTGAGCTCCCATATGGGCCACTTCAAACAGGGCTCTTCCTCACATTGTCGTGTGTGCAGGGCTGTGGCTTTTGGCAGCATCTCCTCAGGAGTGCATTTGTGAACTTAGCACGTCCATTGTGCTTTTATTTTTAGAATGTTTAAACCAATCAAACACTGTGTTGTTAAGATAAATACTGCACTGAATGCGTGGTTGTCTTGGAAATGTTCTAAAATGAGTTCTAATTGGTTCCCTGCCATATAGGAAAAAGAAGACCTGTAGCCTAATCCCATATCTTCTTAAATTTGACTGGATGCACAATTTAATCATACCTGTGCTGTATATTTCTGTTGATTAAAAATCATTAGGGATTTATAGACATGAAGTAGACAAATTAAAGCAAATGCAACGGTAAAAATTTACAAATTTCCTTTGTAATACAAAAAAAACTTATTTAACCAATAAAAAGTTCAGAAGAAAGAAAATTCAGAACAGAGGCCAGCTGATCATTTATTACTCAGTAACCTAATGGGTACGAAACATGCCTTATGAACTTTTTTTTTTTTTTTGAAAGTTAGAGCTATGTTTACGAAAAAAATAATCTGACTTTTGCTTACTGTGGTAGGGTGGGGGATGCTGCAAATGATGAGGACCCATCGATCATGATTGACACGTTCCACATACGTATTTTAATATCTCAAGAAACAGAATAAATATTTCAGCCTCAGTACACAAAACTGAATAAATGTCATTTTTATTTACAATGAATGAATGAATGAATGAATTAATTAATTAAAAAAAATTCCCCATATACCTTGCATTATGTAGCAGCATTCACAACCACCCTGCACAATTTGTATTAGTTTTCACATCTTATTTGCTTAAATATATTAAAGTCTTTCTCCAATTTTGTCAAATGAAGGAGATTCATACATGTACCAACAGCAATTTGTTTCAATTCACAGTTCATTTTATATTTAATGTAAACCTTTTTCCCCCCTTGTGCATAATTTCAGCATGTAAATTTTAAGTCTAACATCCCAAATAAATACACAACTCTCCCCAGATAGCTTGGGAGCTTTTATATACCACAGTTTGGAGAAATTAGAGCGCAGAAGGAAACTTAGATAAGTTATCAGGTGTAATTCAAAATCGATTTTCAGCAGCATAAATAATTAGGCCTACAAAAAACTGTAATAAAAGTTTTTTAAATTAATGAGGTAGAGGCACTTTTAAAAGAAACAAAAAAAAAACACTTGCTTAGTTACTTGATCTCATGATCCAGATGTAAACCATTCACAATTTCACAGCAGTTTTAAACACGTTGTTTTTGTTAGGAAAGAAATCTAGTTTTAAGGAACGCTGATATTAAATAAGTCAGTCACTTACACAACTTACCACCTTGTTTCTATTACTGAGGAGTAACTGATACTCAATGATTAGTTGGTACCTCAGTCTCCTGGATGATGCTGTGACCCTTAATGTACAATTAACTATATAAATGTAAAGCCTTTACATTTCATCACAGGATCAAGTCAGCTTCAATGCAAATCCAAGTGTATACACTAACATCTACATTCTTAAACATTCAAAGTATTAAAAACAATTACTATATGTATCAATTTAATTGGGCACAAAAGATTTTGACAGATCAAAAATGGAGAAGACATTCAGTGAATTAGTTCAATTAGATTTACTGATTCCAGAAAGTAAGACATAAGTTATGGAAATATTACTGCTCCAAAGAAAATAGCCAGAGATTTTCATCTGACCTAATTTCATCCATATTCTGATTTCTCCCAAAAATACTTCTCAAATAGCAAGTCTCTTTCTGTTCCCTCACCCCAATGTGTACTTAAAGTCTTATGGTCTCCCACATCATGAGAAATTTACATTCTGTGAGCAGATACGGTGAGAATTAACCATTTCCCACATCTGGAGGAGATCCTGGGGAAGTAACTTGTGCACCACCATCATGTCTTTGAAGAAGCATGGTTCTCTATTAAGTTTGCTTTTCTTGTCGTGCACAAGCCCAAAGGTTTTGAAGGCATTATGCTTTATGGGTGCGACCTGCAGCACTTGCAGGCACATGCCCAGAAAGACATCGTCAATGGGGAACAGGTCCAAAGTTTCGCAGGCACCATACAGTTTCCGGGCCAGTGGGCCATCCATCAAGAACCCACCCCCTCCAGCATATGCTGGGTAAAGAGTCTTGTCATACAACGCCACAGGGATGTAATATTTGTTCTCTTTCTTTCTAATGGGCTTGGCCTTCAAAATAACATCTCCTGCAAAGAGGTTTTTGATGTTCATGCTTCCCAGAAACTCCAAAACATTCCTCACACCAACAAACACATCATCATCCCCCTTGAAAATGTAATGCACCTTAGTGCAGTACATGGAAAACCACTTAAGAAAGTGGATTTCTTTCAGGGTGAGGTTGAAAAAGCTATCCATGAAATCCCACTGGAGTATGTCCCCATAGATATAATTTTCATATTCCAGCAGTTTCTGATGATTGGCTTTTTCTGCCTCATTGGATGAAGTCCCCAGAAGGAAGACTGTTTTAATTTTCTTGCCGTCAATTTCCTGCTCTCTCCCCCAAGTTTTCCGGATGACCTCCCTGCGATCATGCTGCGTTATAATGGATTTAACCACAATTAGCAGGTAGATCTCTCCTTTACATTTTTCCGGCTGGTTGATAATCATGGGGAAATGCCTGCAGTGTCTGTAGAGCAGGAACTGCTTAAAGTTATTTTCCAACTCCATAAACCACTGAAACTTTGAAAGATTATAATTAGCGCTGCAGTTGTTAATGGTGATGTCCCAGGTTCTCCTTACATCTCTCCCAGACACACTAGACTCCTCAGTAGCAGCCACTGAATTTACTCTACCCCAATTCCATAATAACTCAGGTACAAAACGGAGAGACCTTCTCTGAGAGCTTCCATGAAGCCCAAACTGCTGCTGAGTTTGCTGGCTCTTGTGAAAGTACGTGTTACTGCGGCTCCTCTGGAATATTGTTAGGGCCACTGCAGCCAGCAAGAATATGAGGCCCACTCTCCTGCACATCCTCCACTTGTCTCTCCTGTAGACAAATGAGAAAGCAAAGTTGCTGGTGTATTCCTTTATGTCCGCACACATGCAGTGTACCAAGACAATCTTTTACAAAAAAAAAGATGTACAGAGTGGTACAGTGGTAAATGTGCAGGCCAACACTTCTGGGATGTGTGATTAGTTCCATCCCTAACCGTGTGTGTGTGTGTGTGTGTTTTCATTCCTCATGTAGGCAGGCATTTCCTCCCACAATCTTTCCCTTTTGATGATCTCTAAACAGACCATAGTATGTTGACCAGAGCATGTGAGCGGAGCGTGAGCGAGGAGCGGAGCAGGCGGAATTTGGTCAGAGCGCGGAGCTGTTTCTGTCGCTATACGCACGTGAAATGAACCAAAATAAACACCTTGCGTGCACCGACTCATTCTTCCGGATTTTTGCCAAATTCCACTTAAGGGAAACACACACACACACACACACACACACACCCATTGAAAACGTTACCGTTTCAGACTTTAAACACTTGCATTGCTAACTAATTCAGGTTCTATTTTCTAGTAGCGCGGTGAAATGGCTGTTCTATAACAGGGTTACTCCAATACCAGCGTGTTCCCGTTCACTGCAGGGTACATACCGAATTTGTTAGTTTAAAGAGTATTCGAAAGATTAGAGTTCTGGTGTGATCAAACAGGTACATTTTTCGAGGTAGTCATTACGGGGAAAACGACATTTAAGGCCACTTAAAATTAATAAATTGTTTTACATGATTCAAACTTCTAAAATATTGGTGAGTAGGGGATTTTATATTTTATATTTTTAGTGAAAAGACGAACGGCAACAGAGATATAGGCTACTAAAACTAGAAAAGTTCTCAAACAGCTCGCGAAGGGTAATATATATTACTCGGTATATTGATGCCCTGCCAAGATTTTAATACCGTGGGCCCACACACAATCTGACAAACGATAAAAACCATTGTCCGAGAAGCGTCAAATTGAAAAATCCGAGGCTGACATTCAAGATTTTTCACCCACAGTTTTTGAGGTGAA